TGTATGAACGATATATAAATAGCAATTGAAAGAGAGGGTAGATAAGATGAGGGTCGTGGTTGACTTTTTTGTGTGATGTGGGATGTTGTACATGGCTCTTATGTTGTTGTAATGTTTGGGATTAGGCAGAACACATTTGACTGGTCAAACTTGGTTGTTCAAGTGGCTGCTAATAGCTTAATAGCTTTGAAAGTTGAAAGCCTTATGGGCCAATTGTATTTCTTTATTAGGAAACTTTAGCATGCCCATTATATGTGTTTTCTTTATTAAGGAGAAAAACTATAGATACGTTTGTGTCAAGTTTTATTGCATTATAACCAAACAAGATTACACCAACATTATTACATTAACGTTAATAGTACTTCAATCCCTTGTGAATAGTACTTAAGTGGGTTATCTTATATGGAAAACAAAAAAACCCTAAAAATCATAAAAATACATTAAAAAAATAGATAGAGATCACAAATCTTTTTTTTTTAGTTTATATTCTTAAAATCGCAAGTTTTATTATAAATTCGCTGAAAAAAAATTAAAAAATCGATTTTTTTTTTTTTTTGGTTTTTTCTCAAAAAAAAAAGTTCAGCGAATTTATTGTAAGACCTACTATTTTTAAGAATATAAACTCAAAAAAAAAGTTTTGTAATATCTAAGTATTTTTTGTTTATGCATTTTTATGATTTTTAGGGTTTTTTGTTTTTCCATAAAAACCTAAATGTAAATTATTCGGGGACTATAGTGTAAGATTGAAAACTTTTAAGTGGCAAACTTATACGTTAAGCAATAGATGGAGGACCATTTGTGTAATTATTTCAAACCAGGTGCTAGTTCCCCTGATCAGGATTTTAGGTCATTTTAGGTAACTGAAGTAAATGATATTCCAGTGGAACACGGCACACGTTCGTAAAGTTGCACCCTCAACTTTCGTCGGTTTATTCCCTTCGTCTTCCACTCGTCAAAACAATAACCTTCACAGAGACCCATATCTCTCTCTCTCTCTATCTTCAAAAACCCTAATTAAAGAATTTCATAAAACTTCGATCGCACCAGAAACCTTAGAACATCCCAATTGCTTAATTCCAATAAAAATAATCCCTTTAATTCGATCAGTGAACCGATCAATTTCAAGGAAAAACGCTTATATAGATATACGTATAATCGTATCGCATTTAAAGTATATATCTGTATATATTCCATCTGGTTTTCGTGATCACGACTTCGAAGCCTCAAATTTGTTGTGGGGCATGTCGAATTTGGGTCGGAGCCGGGTCCGGGAGGACAGATTTTACAGCCCACCGGCGATGAGAAGGTACAATCAGCAACAACAGAAACATGTACAACAAGAAGAGCAGAAAGTACAACCCCAACGACAGCAAGAAAAGCAGCAACAATCGGAGTCGTTGATGAGTAGCAGCAGTAGTGTCGTGACAACTAATTTGGATCGGTTTATGAAGCACACGACTCCAATTGTTACTGCTCAACATTTCCCTAAGGTATCGAATGAACATTCAAGAAAAAAATCAATCACAATGAAGAAATTGAACCTCTCCACTGTCTATCTTGATGCTTTATTACATTGATAATCGACAAAATGTTGAATTCGTGGCTTTAGATTAATCGCTAATCTTCAATCTTATTACGTTTTTGCGTTTAGAGCCTATTCAAATTCTTCATTTTTCTCATTTCCATTTCTGGGTAATTGATAAAATGTGAAACTTACAGATGAATTCATCATTTAGTTTGCGTTTGTTTATGCTTTAACCCTAGTGGATTCTTACTTGTTTTGTACTGTATCTAATTAGATTATACAAGAAAGCCGACATTTTGAGTAATTATCGATCATTGGTCATTGACTTCACATGTGATTATCATTTTAGCCCTAATACAATTCTTAACATCAATTATTTATTTGAATCATGATCTAAGAGATAATATTCTTGCTATCATGTAGACTAGCATGAAGGGATGGAGGAATCAAGATTCCAATTACCACCCATACTTCATACTTGGTGATCTTTGGGAATCTTTAAAGGAATGGAGTGCATATGGAGTTGGAGTTCCTCTTGTGTTAAATGAAAGTGACTCTGTTGTTCAATACTATGTCCCATTTCTATCTGCCATTCAACTCTATGTAGATCCATCATCACCCCTAACCACCACAAGGTAAACTTCTTTTAAAATATTCATCTCCAATGGCAATATGGTAATTAAAATTTCCACTCATTTTTTGACAAAAACAGAAGACCAATTGGTGAAAGTGACTCTGATTCATCAAGAGCTACAAGTAGTGATGGAAGCTATGAAAACAATGTTGCAAAAAACTTCAATAAACTCATGATTAGAAGTGATAATTTAGAGGAAAACGAGATTAGAAACCCACCTGGGCTTCTAATCTTTGAATATTTTGAACGTGCTTTACCATATCATCGTGCGCCTTTAGCTGACAAGGTAATCCCTTCAAGGGTATTTATGGTAATTCACTTGATTACTAATGTTATTGATTCATGAGTTTTACAATTGTCATTGATCTCATGATCTCATCAGATATCAGATCTTGCATCAAAGTTTCCAGAATTGAAATCATATCGAAGCTGTGATTTAACTCAATCAAGTTGGGTTTCTGTTGCTTGGTAAATATTCTATTTTTTTTACACATAATTTGCTATTTCCTTCAATCTTTCCCTAATTTTTACCACTTTTTTCCAGGTATCCTATATATAGAATCCCTGTGGGCCCATCTTTACAAAATCTTGATGCCAGTTTCTTGACTTTTCATTCTCTTTCAACACCATTAAAAAGTATCCCTCAATCTTTCTATCTGCTTATTTACTTACACGGGTCATAGTTTTTTTGTACAAAAGAGACAAAAAGTTGACATCTTTTTTTAAATTTTAAAAAAAGATTTGTGTGTGATATTGTGATTCAGGTGTGGAAGGTGATAAGTCAAGTATGATTGAAGTTCATGATGTTGGGATTTCATTACCGATTTTTGGGCTTGCTGTTTACAAGTTCAAGAGTTCTGATTGGACACAAAGTGGGATTCATGGAGCTGAAAAAGTGGATTCTTTGATGCATTCTACTGAGAATTGGTTGAGGAGTTTGAATGCATATCACCCGGATTTTGTGTTTTTTAAAAATCATGACTTTTGGAGGTAGGATTTAGGAAGAAGATGTGGTGAAAGAGATTAGGTAAAAAAGAAAAAACTGACAAATGTTTATGTTTTTGGTTAAAGAAAGTGAGTAGAGAGAGTCCATGTTGGGGCTTTTGGATGATTTGATTTGAAGGGTTTTTGTTTTGGAATGATGGAACTTTGTTGATATGATATGGATGTTGTAGTGTATAAACTATATAGTAGGATTTGTAAACTAATGTGGTAAATTTTAAATTAATTTGTAGGAATGATTTTAAATTGTTGGTGTGTTGTCATGGTTAATTGTGTCTTTCAAAGAATGTTATAGACAAATACCCATTGTTATTCTAATCTTAGGTAAAATTATTTCTTGAAAATCAATTTGAATTTCAACTTTAGATGTAATCTTATTACCAACTTTTTATAATACTTCTTGAATTTGGTGTATATTTATCTTGTTTAAGTGTGAAATTTATTGTAAAATTGTAAGAGTTGTAATTGTTGAGCTAACTTTGAAAATCACTCTAAAATTTCCAAAATAAGTCTCATGTAAAAAAAACATTGACAAAGTTTGGATGTCTTTTAAGTCAAGTTTACTATATTAGTTCTCACTTCTTTTTTGATAAAGCTAGTAATGGGTCGACCTGGGTTAGGTTCGTGTTCAATCCATTTATTCAAATACTTCTTGATAGAGCTGGTAATGGGTTGACTTGGGTTAGGTTCGTGTTCAACCCATTTATTAATTGGGTTGAACATTTCAACCCAACTCAACCTTTTTATTTAAATGGATACATATTTCCAATCCAACCCAACCTTTCAGATAAATGAGTTGTCATCGGGTTGATCCATTTATGTAATTCTCAATCCAACCTATTAAATAAATAGGTTAAATCTGAATTAACCCATTTAAAATAAAAAAGTAAATAAATTAACTAAAGATTATACCACTTAAATTAGTTCAAAACTTAAATAAACTTTCAAAGTATAATAAAAGCTGAATCCCAATTCACAAATACAAAAAAATTGTTCGAATAACATTAAAGATATGTAATTTCGAAATGATTTTGAAGAGTGACTAGTGTTGCTGGCGCAAAGAAAAAAGATTAGAATTAAGATTGCATTTTTTAAAACATAAATAATAATACAACATTGTAATTTATAAATTAATACTTAGATTAATACATTATAATATTTAAATAATTATTAAATTAAATATATATTAAAGTTAAATGGGTTGGTGGGGTAAAAATGGATTGACAACATTTACCCAACCCAACCTATTTAATTAAATGGGTTAGAGGCGGGTTGACCCATTTATCCTAAATGGGTTGAAAACGTCAACCCAACTTGCTAATTTTGGGTTAGGCTCGGGTTGGGTTGGTGGATTGGGTCGATTTTTGCCAGCTCTACTTCTTGAACTATCGAATATTAGATCTTTTCTCTGTATACCGATCGTTGCCAACCCTTTCAACGGATATATAAGGCACAACACTAAAAGAAAAGTTTGTCATAACGCCAAGCCGGAATGAATCACATGCATATAACGTGGTAAAATGCATATGGAAACCCAATGGCATGATAAAGATATTCACCATGGTAATAACAATGTATACTTAAGGTATAGGTGAACGCAATACATGATATGCATCCCTCAATTTTTCATCATTGTGAATAGCTTTTTGACACGCATGGAAGGAGCCAACTGACCACACCGTCGTGTCAACATGCATTCATCTCACATGCACCGATGAACCAAAAGTACCATGCATGCCCCAATGATCACAAATGCAAATGTGATACCTATATAACTAATGTTCATCAACGTATACAACTTGTAAGTACAAGATATATAAACTTATTTACCAAATATGACTCACGTATATAAAAACTCATGCAACACATAATCGCAATATATGCAACGCATGCCCTTTACAAACATGACTCGTTTGTTGTGTGTCATGTTTAAAACTAGACATGTACTCACTTGTCACTTGGACGCTGAATTCAAATTTCACATCCTTCCTACTTCTCGTGCAAGACTATGACCCTATCATAGTAAGTTTGGCACAACTGTTAGTATTGAGATATTAGTGTTGGGATAGTAATAAGCAAACTTGTAACACGTGTAATTTGTGACCAGAAGTTTTAGCCTTAAGTGTAGTTATATAGAAATATTTTTTTTACTAAATTAAATAAAATAAAAATTATAAAAATGAGGCATTTAAAATTTCTGAGTTAAGTAATATAAAATTAGCTAAACTAAAATTTAGTTGTAATTGATTGGGTGAAAGTTGAAGTTAAAAGCACCAAGGTTAGGAATTGAGGAATGAAATTGGAATGAACTCATTTGTTAGGATATGCACTTATTTGTAAGAAATTTTATCATTGAATTAGAATATAAGAAGCTAGAAAGGTTATTTAGAAAGTCAACTTTGGTTAAACTGAAAATATATATGTTGAGTGGCCAATCTTGTCAATTATGAAAACTTAGGCATGACTTTGACTTAACATTGTTAACTAGATCTTGGACCTTAAATGTCAATATATTAACTAACTAGGTTTAAGGTAGGAATTGTTAAGTTAGAGATGTTTATTGGGTGTTCATAACTTCAGTTTGATACTAGAACTCCAACTGATCTTCAATTCTCTTATTTAGTTCACATTCTTTCAAACCAAATTCCATTTGTTATCCAATATGAAAAAGTCCAAATGAGGGGAAGAAGAGAGGTTAGGGTTTAAATGTTCAAAACTTTCACCAATTAACAACTTAAGTCTCGTTACTTTCTAAAATTTGACTTGGTTCTAATATTGTTTGGTTTTAGATTCAAGTGTTCTAATACCAAAATATTGATAGAACTAGGGGTGTTCAAAAATATCCGCATCCGAGGATCCTATCCGAAAATCCGAAATTCCGAACTGAAATTATCCGAAATTTTGGATATCCGGAATTTCGGATTCGGATACGGATAGTGGATTTATGAATTTTCGGATATTTCGGATATCCGATATCCGAAAATTATTTTTTATTAATATTCTTAATTTATTTATTATAAGAAAATGGGATTACAAAGACTTTGTTAGTGACTTATGGTTTGTGTGTTACGTGTTTTTTGTTTTGTTTATGTATATCTTTAGTAGATGAATACGTATTCTGTTTGTTTGATTGTGAAACTGTTTTACGCAAATGAATGTTGGATTATTATTATTTAATTATTAGAATGATTGATTGTTGTTTAAAAAATTAAAGAAAACAATGATGCATTTTAGATGGGAGTTTGATATTTGAATGTGTTTTATGTCTCTCTCATTGTGAAGTTTTTTTACATAATAAATGGATTTTGGTTAAACACTTTTATACGTTAATATTAAATAGTCAATTGCCGCAATATATTTGGTTTCAAAAACAAGTACAACAAAGTAATAGTTTGATCTTGATTTTGCATTTAACTGGCAGTAGTGTATGAGAGTTTGTTGCTATTAGCTGTTTAAAAGTTAAAATTTCAATTGTAAATTTAGTTTGTTGCATTATTATATATTAAATATATTTTATAAGAAAACAATAATTTTTTTGGATATCCGGTTTCAGTATCCGAATCCGTATCCGAAATTTCGGATACGGATACGGATATTGATATTAACTATCCGAAATTTTCGGATATCCGAAATTCGGATATCCTAATTTTCGGATATCCGGTTTTGAACACCCCTAGATAGAAGTTCATCTCATTGACCAATTTGAGTTTATGAAACTTCAATGGCGATTGTAAAACACTAACTTCATGAATCAATCATTTGATCTAGTAAAACTTGAAGTTGATCATTGTCTAAGCTTAATGATATGATTCAGATGTAGGTTTTATGATTTTAAGTTCAAAATATGGTGTTAAACCCTTGAAGTGAAGCAATGATGGATCTAGGAGCTTTAATGGAGTTTTTAAGCTCACAATTGGACAAATCTCTCATAAACTCAATAAGTTGTGACAAAATTATGTTTATAAGACCTAATTATGCTTTCTAGTTAGGTATTGCCATCATCATTCCAAAACATAAATGGAAATCATTTTGTAGAAATCAATATTTTAGTTTTGAAGCTTAAACTTAAAGTTTTGAGAAAACCACATAGATCTAGGATTTTAACCTAATGATGTTATGTGGATATAGAACATAACTAAAACGATTTTTGGAATTATTTTAAGTACTAGAATTCATTTGAGTTGGTTTTAGAAGTGTTAGAATCACATTAGGTAAAGTAGGATGCCAATTTTAGGAGTTTTTCACATTTTTGTACAAACATGGGTGTTCTACCCGAACGAGTAAACATCTACATGAACTTAGGAAGTTTATTTTGGTACATATATATGAGCTTAGGGGTCATGAGGGTGCTCCCAATACTTCCCTTAAGGTAATATAAGATAGTTTAAGAGGCCACTAAGTGTCATCAAGTATATATGAACATAAATAGAGTAACTAAGATTAATTAAGTATGATATCTTACACAATTAAGCATTTATATCGTGCTTATGAACCCTTCATATACCTTAAGGAGCTTGTTGGATGATATTATACATTTGAGATGTTTATGGATTTTTCATAGGAGCTTATTCAAGGTAGTCTACACTTTGAGGTGAGATTCATTACCCAAGAATATGTGTACTTTGAAACTTTACTTGATTTGATTTGTTATATGTATTTACTACTTGAGATCCTATATGATATATGTGTGCATTCACAAAACGATTTTTAGAAAGAGTTTTAGAATATAGATAAATATTTTGGTGTTTTGAAAACCTTTTTAGAGGTTTGAGTTGAGGCTTAGAGTGTTGACCTTATCCATTACCTTTAAGAGTTAGATTAGTAATGTTCACTAAGATTTCCAAGTCTAACCAACCATGTTTGGAGTCATTATGTAA